TACGGCAGCAGAAGGTGAAGACGAAAGGAACGCTGAAGGAATTTGAAGTGTTTAGTGGTGGTGAGAAGTTTCAATGGCGGAGGAGAAGATGAAGACGATTGAAGGAGAAATGGCGGCGAAAAAAATGGAAGGGGAAGAAATTGAAGATGACGAAGGGAGAAGGAGAAGGGTATGTGTGGGCGTTAGGGTTTCGGTGGGGATTTTTCCGGCGCCGATTTGGTAATTTTAGGGGATCATGAACAGTGACTAGGGTTAGAAAGGGGGCGGCCCAATTTAGGGTTCGGTGAACAGTAATATCCCTCATTTTTAGGGTTCTCCCCTTTTCTTTTAGGGTCCCCTGTCAACAGTAGCTGAGTCTCCTATTTATCCCAAATTAACCCTAATTTTCAATTCCATCCAACCGTGTCTTTTTTTCAATTTTCATATTTTTGTTTTTTTCTTTAATTAATTTTTCTGAATAATTTAATAATCAATCCTAACTATATTATATTATATTAACTATTACTAAATTAAACTCTAATCTAATTTTTAATATAAATCCTAATTAAATTCTAACTCTATTTTTTTTTTAAATCTATTTTTTTTCTAAAATAAAATTTCTAAGTTATAATTAAGTTCTAAATTAAATCTATCTAATTAAAATTTTTAATTTAAATCCTAATTTCTAATTCAAAACTAATTACAATTAATATTAAAAAAATATTATATTAACCTATCATAAAAATGAAATTCTGAAACAAAAATAATGATAGATATATACAAAAAACAAATGCCACGTGGCATGCTCTTATTGGGCTAAAAAAGTAAAAATGCTCATTTTTGTTGAAAAATACGCTACGTTGTATAAGCGAGGTAAATTAAAAACAAAGTCGGGCAAATGAACCTTTTCAAAAAAAGTAGGACAAATTTGGGGTATAACACTGACACGCTTAATTCTTTTGTTGAGTTGATTCTCAACTTCAACTTTAAATGATTTAAAAACGTCCAATTGTTAAGACTTTTCATGTATAAGAAATAAGTATGCATATCTTGAGTAATCGTCTATGAATGATATAAATTATTATTGGTCATTCCATGACAGTGTTGGAAATGGCCCACAAATGTCTGTATGTATCAATTCTAAGATATCTGTAGCTCTATATGCACCTAATTTCTTGATTTTGGTATGTTTTTCTTTAATGCACTTAACACAAACATTAAAGTCTATGAAGTCAATGGAATCTAGGATACCGTTAGATACAAGTTGCTTAACTCTACTTTTAGATATGTGATATAAACGTTTGTGCCACAGTGCTCCTGAATTTGTGTTTCTTATTTTACGCTTAGTACCACGTGATTCCACATTCAAGGTTTCATTATAAGAAGCATAAGTATCAAGTAAATATAGATTATCATATGCCATAAGAGTACCATATCCAAAAAAATTGAATTAATAGATAAACTAAATTTATTATTTCCAAGTGAACAATGGTAATCAAATTTGTCCAATGATGAAACAAAAATTAAATTTCGTCTAAATGACGGTACAACAAAAATATCCATTAAACCCAAATAATAACCAGTACTTAATAACAACCTAAAATTTCATATTGCCTCTACTTCTACCGACTTTCCATCTCCCACATAAATGCATCTTTCAGCATCATTTGGATTTCGGTAACTCAGGCAACCCTGCATTGAAACACTAATGTTAGTAGTAGCATCTGAGTCTAACCACCATGTGTTTCTTGTTACTGAAGCTAAATTTACCTCATAACAGACCAAAGTAAGAAACATACCTTTCTTTTCACGCCATGCATGATACTTGGCACATTCCTTCTTTGCATGTCCAGTCATTTTACAAAAGAAACAACCAGCGCCCTTATTTTGCTTCTTTGGTATCAGACCCTTAGCAACTTCATTCTTTACATCCTTATATTTCTTCCTTTTGCCTTGCTTTTAGAGGTACTTGCCAAGTGAGCATTATATATCCTATCTTGCTTCATCCTTTCTTCTTCTTGCACACAATATGAAATGAACTCGTTAAGAGACCACTTCTCCTTTTGACAATTATAGCTTATCTTAAATTGACCAAATTGTGCAGGAAGAGATATTAACATCAAATGCACGAGTAAATCATCCGACAACTCAAGTTTTAGTGCCTTAAATTTGGAAGTAATGTTAGACATTTCCATAATATACTCTCTTATATTTCATTTGCCTTTATACTTTATAGAAATCAAGTATTGAAGGAGTGTGCTTGTTTCTACCTTTTCACTTTTAGCAAAGCTCTTTTCAATTTCAGCAATGAAGTCTTTGACACTTGTTATTTCTTCAGATATATGCAACCAAGAAAAATTAAAATGTTCTCCTTCTGGTCCTTAAAGTTTGCACCATTAAGAACCAGGACTGAATTCATGTTAGTAGATATAGTACTAATATTAACTGTAAAGAAAATAAAATAAAATAATATAAATATGCTCACATAATCAATTATAAATCAACTCAAATAATATATATTCAAATAATGTCATGATTAATTTCAAGATATCTAGTGCAACATTAATATAAATGCCTTTGGACTCAAATAATATTAATTGTTAATGATACTCTTGTTGTAATGATCAAATATTGACAATAATATATGTCAAATAATAAAATTATATTTGGATTGATTTATTATTCACATCTAAAATCGTATAATTATCACATATTTATCATCACATGTGTATAAATAAAATTTGTCAAATATTAACAATTTCTTTGAAAAAATTAATACTCACATGTATAAACATACACACTAACATTCAACATTTCTCATGATCAAATCCATAAAAGAATGGTCACTTTGGTGATTTCTAGTCTCAATAGAATCATTTAAAATGTCAAATTATTATATAAAATACAAATTATAATCAATAATTTGAACATAAAAAATACTAAGTTCAATGGACAAAAAATTTGAGGGACGTTGTACAATCCAACACAACATGCCCACTGTCTCTTTAGTTTATAAGAAGAAAAAAAACAACCAAATTTGCAGGAAACAAAAAAAAAAAATGCAATGCGTCAAGCTTATATCTATAGAAAAAAGGAAACTAATATGCAAATCCAGAACTTGTTTTGAATTCTTAGACATCATTTCCCATAACGTTATCCATGTTTTTATCAGAAATAGACTTGAATTTAGGGATGGCAACGGGGCGGGTCGGGGGCGGGTTTAACTATACCCGCACCCGCACCCGCCTCCATGTAACAGACCCGCCCCCGCCCCCAAATCCAATCGGGGGTGAAAATTTACCACCCAGACCCGCCCCCAGTAGAAAACGGGTGCACCCGCACCCGCCCCGCCCCCACCCGCAAAATATTATTATTTTTTTAATTATAATAAAAATTAGTAATTTAATTAAAAAAATTGATTATTTTAATAAATAAATTAATTATTTAATTAAAATTTTAATTAATAAATGAATATTAACATGATTAATTTTATTATTTTAATTGCAATAAGAATATTAATAACTTAATTAAAAGTATAATTAATAAATAAATACTAAAATAAATAAAATAAAGAAATCAAAATAAAATATATTATTTGGGGCGGGGCGGGGGCGGGGGCGGGCGGGTCTTAGTGTCTACCCGCACCCGCACCCGCACCCGTAGTTAAGAACCGGGTTTCACCCGCACCCGCACCCGCACCCAATTAAATCGGATTTTCCCCGTTAATTTCGGGGCGGGCCCGGGCGGGTGTGGGCGGGCCCGGGTTTGTTTGCCATCCCTACTTGAATTACTACTTGTGTACAAGTTTTGTTAATTATTTTTACACTCTACATTCCTTTTTTCACATATTTTCTCCCATAACAATGCGTTTTATAGGTAAAGTTTTTCTAATGAGACATATGTTTTTTCTCCCCGAGTTTTGACATAATCCCCTATTATACTTTTGACAAATTCTTAGATAATTAGTATAAATAGTTGGATACAAGTATCTATAATATAAAATGATTTAAAATATTATTTAATTTTTAAATAAAAATATATAAAAATGATATGATATTAAATATAAATATTTTATTAAATAAATATCCTGATACCCAACTAAATTTAAAGGTATTGAAATGTTCAAACTTGAGTTGTCAACCTAATTAAAATGTCAACTCTTATCTGTTTCAACGATGCTGTTGTGCATGATAATGAGTATCTATCTCCCTTATATATAAAATTCACCTAATTTTTTATAAAATCATATTACACATTGCAATCAAATTAATTAGATTAATTATGTTATATTTTTTATTCCATTGATAATAAAAACTCTATATATTAACCAATAAATTCTTTTTATTCTAAAAGTGTAAAGTTGTAAAATACTACTAAATTAATTTTATGTATGACTACGTTCAATGTTGATTCTTCACTAAGAAAGAAAGAAATTATATCTTAGTCATAACTAATGTGTTGGAGCGCAAACCGTGTGCGGATTCCCCATTTCATTTTGACGCACAAGGGTTCTTCACTCACTCATTGACCAGAAACAGCCATATTTTCATGCTCGTCTTATTCTTATTCACAATTTTGCATTCGTTTCGGAAGGTACGTAAGATACTCCATTTCACTTTATTTTTTATTTTTTTATTGTTTTCAATCTGATTAATCCGATTCGAATGTCAGTAAATGTTCCAGTCCCTTTAGAAGGGAGATGTAACCGTAATTCTCTTTTAAATTCAGTGTCAATTACCGCTCGACAAATTAACTATAAGTGTATGTTTTCATTTCACTTTTTTATATAACCATTTTTATACACGGCTGATTTGGATGACTTTGAGTCTTCTGAGTAGAATTATATATCTGGATCCGCGGTGGATCTAGATCGATGGCCTTATTGGCGCCTGGATCGAGCCTTGGCTCGGTCCAGGGCATGTCTAGGAGATTGAATTTTATGATCTTTATTAGTTAAGATTGTTTTGCAGCTTGAAAGCTGATTGGTGATTATTTTAGTTCAACAACAAGGCAAAGCAGCCATGGCAGAAACAACTTTGATGGGTCGAACTAGAAGTGAAGTAACAGTGTTAGACAGGACAGAGACACTTGGTTCTCAAGGACAACTTCTGCAGAAGTTGTACGCGGAGTTGGATGAAGAAAGGGAAGCATCAGCCACAGCAGCCATGGAAGCAATGGATATGATATTGCGTCTACAGGGAGAGAAGGCTACGGTGGAGATGGAGGCGAGTCAATTCAAGAGAATGACAGAAGAGATGATAGAACACGCGGAAGAAACCTTTGAGGCTTATGAAGAACTTATGCATGACAAGGAGATGGAAACTGCATCTCTCAAGTTTCAATTGCAGGCTTACAAAAACAAACTCATGAGCTTAGGATGTGATCTCAATGCGACTGAGTTTCAGTACCTGCACTCAAATGCAAGTGATCAAAGTAGCGTTAAGGTTATGAGAAGGCTAAAGTCATTTCCCTCGGAGCTAAAGTCATTTCCCTCGATTCCGATTAAAAAGATCATGAGCCTGGGTGAGAGTGATCCTCCGAAAACTGAAACATCAGTTTCGAGTGACCAGGAACCTAGCTTGGTGCGTGAGAGTGGAACTCTTAACTCATACTGGAACAAGATTAAAATGTTGAATGCACAAGCGAGACTGATTTCGGATCCTAATAACATAGGAGCAAACTTGAAAAGTAGAGGAGGAAGGTCATGTTCAATATTGTCAAAAGCTAGCGGTAAGATAGCCTGTGAGTATGGCCAAACACATAGATTGAACTCTTCAAATTCTACTGAAGTAGTAAATCATTGTGATCTTACACGCGACAGTAAAAGACTCTCCAATCGTACTTGTTCGAGTAATGTCCACGATGTATTTGAAGTCCCACAAGCTACAGCAAAGCATGAAGTCAGAAGAAGGCATGAGAAATGGAATTTTTTGGCAGACATTATATTAACAAAACCAAAATCTGTGTCTGAGGGAGTGATTGAACCGCCTTTTAAACATGATGCAGACAAGCAAAAGGGCGCAGCGACAATTGTTGGCCAGAAGAAAGACAGGATGGGTGTGGATTGTAATTCTCAAGCTGAAGTTCATCAGAAAATTGCAAGGCTTCAGAGGCAGAAAACCAGTAGAAGGTATCAGGAGATTACATCTGGATTAGAATTAGGGGATAATGAAGAGCAGTTGCGGCTTTTGAGGGAAATAAAAAGTGAACTGAAATTAATACAGTCTGAGATGAGAAACTTGAAAACCAAAAATGTCACCCCTGTGGATGATGCTGTGTCATTCGGTCTTCTCCAAGAGGTAAAGTATATACATTTTGGTGGTTGAGAAACAGAACATAAATTCCCATTGTCTACATGCATGAATGATTGATGTTTATTTTACCCTTTGAAATACAAAGAACTAATGATTAACCAATTATATGAACAGGCAATGATGCACTTTTGGATTTGATCAAGTAACTGCATAATGACCATCTCAGGCAACAGATCAACTAACTGCATCATATGCTTTCTCTACCCGCAGATTTATGTCGGATATAGAAATATGTTGTGATTTGAATTTTATAATTGAAAAATGTATACATTTCAACAAAGACATGTTTTACATTAGGAACTCTAGGTAGGCAATTTGAATGTCTTGTAGGTATAAATTACTAAAGTTTCATGTTTTCCTTGTTTTGAAATGGAACCAAATAATTGAGTGCCTTCAACTCCCGGATATATCTGTTTACTTTGAGAAATGTTTATGGGATTTTTCAACCTAGTTTCATTGCTCCTTTAGTTACTTTTTAATAAGAAGATACCAACGATTAAGAGTTTCACATCAGAGAATATATCACTTGAATATGTGCTTATAAGTGGGGACAATCTTCATCTTATAAACTAGTTTTGAAGAGATGAATTAGATCTAAATCACATTTCGCTATCAGATTTCTACTATAGAATTATCTACCATTTATTACCACGTTCTAGATGTCGATTTTACATTTCTTTTAACATGGTCTGACTTATTTATTAGGGTATAGTAGGCTCAATGCTAGCTTCCTTTGATTGATGAACGCAATTTATACAAAATGGTTTTGCTGTGTAGTCGGTAGTTACACATTTATAAGTAAATTACATCTCATAGAACTATCATCCTCAGCACCTCTGCTAGTAAGTGCTTTAATCATATGTATTTACATATTTATATAATATAAAAGTTTCAACTATATGATATATCCTATAAATTGCATTGTATAATTTTAATATAAACCACACAACTCTTTAATAATGTTTTCAATATTATTTTTAATTTCAATTTCAATTTACTAAATAATACTAAAGAGAAATCATAACCTAAAAAAAACATGATATTTAGAATGGATATAACTTTTCCACTTGAAAAACTATCTCATCGAAAAATTTCTATGATGCGATTTAGTTTTCTAGTGCTTTAGAAATTACAATGATAGGATTATCAAGAATCAATAAAATATTTGGTGTATTTGTTGTTTGAAGAAGATTTTCATGGAGGTTGGTGTTTCTCAATTTTGTTGGAAATTCCCTCACATCCTATGAAGAATTCCCTTCAATCTTGATCTCAAGATTGACGAACAAACCTACTATATGATAGTAATGGTAATAACAAGTAATTATCAAGAACAACAAAAGAAAAGAAGAACAAGAAAGAGAAGAATGAGAAAGTATTGAGTTACCCACAACTGTGAGATTTCTGATTTTATTGAACCTTCACTTGCTAACACTGCAACTGTGAATCCAGTTCTAATGTTGTGTTGAATACAAAGCAAGGCACTCTATTTATAGTTTTAGGTTTACAAAAGCCCAAACCATAAAAGGCCCAAAATATTCAACAATGAATTACATTTAACACACCACCTAATTCATTGTGTCTAAACTGTCTACATTCATCATGGCTCTTAGTCTTCTGAAGGCTTCGACCTGCATTCCCTTCGTCATGATATCTGCAATCTGATTCTCAGTTCTGCAGTGTTCCAACTTCATCTTCCCTTCTGCTACCTGCTCTCGAAGATAATGGAACCTCATTTCGATGTGCTTGCTTCGACCATGAGCTATTGGATTCTTCGCCAAGTTGATAGCTGACATGCTGTCTATCTTCATGGTAATTGCTCCATGATTCTTCCCTGTGATTTCTTCGACCAAGTTCACCATCCAAGTTGCTTGACATGCACAAAGAGAAGCAGCTATATATTCTGCTTCGCATGATGACAATGCCACTACTGGTTCCTTTCTCGAATTCCAAGCAACTGGTGCACCACCTAGCATAAACACATACCCAGCTGTGGATTTTCGATCCTCAGCATCACTACACCAACTGGAGTCTGTGTATCCCACTAACTTGCATTCTTTTCCTTCATCAGCTGCTGGAAACAAAATACCATAGTCGAGAGTTCCTTTCAGATACCTCAGTATCCTCTTCGCCGCTGCTAGGTGTGATACCTTTGGCTTATGCATGAATCTACTTACCATACCAACACTGTATGCTAAGTCAGGCCTTGTGTGACAAAAGGTATCTAAGTGACTCAATAAGTCTTCTGTATTGGGTTGGGTCGACATCATCTTCATCTGACTCCTTCGACAGTTGCAATCTGGGCTCAACTGGAGTCGAAGTTTGGTTGCAATCTTGCATCTCAGATCTCTTGAGTATTTCGCATGCATATCTTCTTTGGTGCATCATCAAACCTCTACTTGTCTTGTAGAATTCGATGCCAAGGAAATATGAGAGATTTCCCAAGTCTGACATTTCAAACTCCTCACTCAGGTCATGTTTGAAATCTTCGATCTCCTTCTTACAACTCCCTGTTATCAACAAATCATCAACATAGAGACATAGTATAAGCAATTCGCCATTGCTTCTTCTTACATATACTCCATGCTCAGTTGTACACTTCACAAATTCCTTCTCCCTTAAGAAGTTGTCGATTTTCTTATTCCAAGCTCTTGGAGCTTGCTTAAGTCCATACAGGGCTTTATGAAGCCTGTACACCTTTCTTTCTTCGTCTTGTTTCACAAACCCAGCTGGTTGTGCAACATAAACTTCTTCGTCTAAGGGGCCATTAAGGAATGCACACTTCACGTCCATCTGACATGTGTGCCAGTTGTTCATATTTGTTAGGCCAACAACCAACCTGATTGTTTCGATTCTAGCAACAGGTGCAAATACTTCATCAAAGTCGATTCCTTCCTTCTGAAGAAATCCTTTTGCCACAAGTCTCGCCATGTGTCGAGTTACTTCTCCTTTAGGATTTACCTTCACCTTGTAAACCCACCTCACATTAATTGCCTTCTTGCCTTGCGGCAATTCGACAAGTGACCAGGTATCATTGACTTCGATGGACTCCAACTCTTCAGTCATTGCTTTCATCCACTTCGAATCTTTCAATGCCTCAGCTGCATTGACTGGTTCGACATCTTCGTAAAAAGCATAATGTACCAACTCACCCTCTTCATCGACTACATCATCTGATGTAATTACACATTCTTGCAACCTTGCAGGCATGTGTCTTGTTCGTCGAGGTCGGCTTGAACCTGCTTCATCTGCAACTGGTTCCTGTCGAACTTCTATTTCGACTTCAGTGGCTGGTTCTTCACAAGAGATTCTCACTGAATCCTTGTTGGCATTCTCAGTCCAATCCCATTCTTTAAGCTCATCTATGATCACGTCTCTGCTGATCACTACCTGCTTATTCACTGGGTCGAACAGCTTGTAACCTCCTGTCGAATGATATCCTATCAAGATCATCTGATTCGACTTATCATCAAGCTTCCTTCTCAACTGATCTGGCACATGTCTATGTGCTATAGATCCAAACACCTTCAAGTGACTAAGACTAAGCTTGACACCAGACCAACATTCTTCTGGTGTGATTCCTTCAAGCTTCTTCGTCGGACATCTGTTCAATATATATGTTGCTGTCGAAATTGCTTCTCCCCATAATTCTTTAGGTAGATGCTTTCCATTCAACATACTTCTCACCATATTCATGATGGTTCTGTTCTTGCGTTCTGCAATCCCATTTTGCTGTGGAGTGTAAGGTGGCACCACCTCATGCACAATCCCTTCTTTTACACCTAGTGTATCGAACTCTTTCGACACATACTCTCCACCACCATCAGTCCTCAGAATTTTCAGCTTTCGACCACTCTGTCTTTCGAACATGGACTTGAATCTGGAAAATACCTCAATCACATCACTTTTCTTCTTGATGAGGTAATTCCACAACTTTCGAATGTAATCATCTATAAACGTGACAAAGTATCTATTGCCACCAATCGAATCCACCTGGATTGGACCACATACATCAGAGTATATGACTTCAAGTATTGCCTTCGACTTTCTTCCTGCATCCTTGCTGAAGCTATTCTTGTGTTGTTTCGACTGAACACACTCTTCACAGACTTCACTTGGAATGTCGATTTCTGGTAATCCTGAAACCATATTTCTTCTCTTCAGTTCTCTGATGTCTTTAAAGTTGAGATGACCTAGTCGAAAATGCCATAACCACTCATCTCTGTTGGCTGCAGTTGCTAGACATCTGTGCTCCATCACATTGAGTCCAATCTTGAAGGTCCTATTCTGAGACATTGGAGCCTTCAAGATTAATCTACCACCTGCGTCGATAACTCTCATCATCTTGTCTTCGACAACTACCTTGTAGTTCTTTTCGACAAGCTGCCCTATACTGAGCAAATTACTCTTCATGCCTGGTATGTACAACACATTAGAAATTGTTGACCTTTTGCCATCTTTCCTCATAATCAGAACATCACCAACACCTTCAGCTGCTAGAGTGTTGTCATTTGCAAACTTCACTATGCTCTTCGACGAGGGCTTTATGTTGACAAACCAATCTTTCCTTCCAGTCATGTGTGATGAGCATCCTGAGTCCAAGTACCACTGATCTTGGAATCTTTCTTTATCTTTTGTTGTGACCATTAGCAACGTTTCTTCTTCTTCATGTTTCGCCAGCTTTGCATCAGTCTCTTGATTTCTCTTTTTTTCTGGACAATCACTAGCATAATGACCATACTTCTGGCAATTGAAACACTGAATGTGGCTTTTGTCTGGATTTCGACCACCACCTCTTCCTTTACCTACAGCACCACCTCTTTGGTTGCCTTGGTTCCAAGGTTTCTTATGATTCGACTGGTTTCCTCCTTTGTTGCTATTCCAGCTACCTTTGCCTTTTCTTTCCTTTTCTGACTGCGCCTGCAAAGCCATATCTTTTGACTTTCCTGTAGCTCTCTCAGTCATCCTCTGTTCATGAGACTCAAGAGTACCTTGAAGCTCTTCCTTCGTCAACACTGACAGATCTTTCGACTCTTCTATGGCAACTACCACGTGGTCGAATTTTGGAGCCAACGATCTCAAAATCTTTGAGACAACTGCTTTCGTTGTCAGCGCTTCTCCACATACTTTGATTTGATTCA